GCATTTGCAAAGAGAGCAGTTGTTTGTAGTGCAAATTTAGCCAACTTTTTTGTTCCTTAAAGTTTACCGGCAGCAAAGTATAATTTTTATTTTTTTTTGCTAAGTGAAGAAATCTAAACCCATTATTTGCAAACTATTTGAAATAGTTTAGCAAACATTAACACAGTATCTTCTATATTCGACTCGGCAAAGTATTTTTAAATGTGAAATTTTTAACAGATTTAACCAGATACTTAATGTAATACGGACAGTCTCTGAATTATGACAGTTCACCTTACTGATTTTTCAACTTTGGTGTGAAAAGAATATGCATTCAGTAGATGCCGTACTTCAAATTTTGAATCTTGATCTTTTCCCAATCAAAAAGATGATGCAGAGAGATGCAGTATGATGTTCCATCGTGATGCTGGGCAGCGGCAAAGAGCCATGGCTCCTAGTCAGCCATGTGATCACAAGAGTAAACAACCGATATGCTTACAAACACCCTGTACCCGGAGAGCATTCTGGTCTCCACTCTCAATAAAATATTCAATAAATTACACAAGATATTCAACACCTTATTATAAAATAGGCTCTATATTAGATAATTTTGCCCAACTGCAGGCTAATGTACGTATTCTGAGCACAATTAAGGCAGATGAGGCTAAACTCTGATGTTCAGTAAGTTAGGTGTGTAAACGAGTTTCTAACATACGGCATTTTCAACTTACCTTGGGTGTATTTGGATATAACCTCATCTTAAGTCAAAGAAAATCTGTGTTATAAATGCACCAGACACTGTATAAATATTTAATCCTCCTAACCACTGAGGGCAGGAGACAGATTATTCCTTATTTTACAGATGAGTAAACTGAGTGTCAGGGGGGCAGAGAAACTTACCCAAGGTCCCACAGCTAGTGAGTAGGAGAATCAGGATTCAAACCCAGGCCACCTGGCTGCAGAGGCTGCACCGGAACATACGGAGGAGGGATATGTAGAGGCTCTGCTGGGAGAAACAGCCACAGTTTAATAACCTTTGTAAGCAAATCAGTGAGAATCACAGTGATATTAATAAATTCAAGCATCAAAGCCAAAAGAGTCTCCATTAAATCCTCAAAAACTCAAGTCCAAAATCTCTGGCTTCCCTCAGACCTTGATTATTTGTGATTATTGGTAGAAGAAGAGGTATGAAGAAATACTAGTGGGAAATAAGCATTTCTTGATACTTAGACATAAATGTGGCAAGTAAACTTCAGTCTTATATGAGTATGTATAATTTACGTTCAGGTTAGATCAAAGATAAACTAGTTATGACTTATAGAAATAGCCAATTAGATAAGTCATCCACTTACATGGAAAACTGTTATTTATTCCTGATTTCCTTACAATCACTTGGTGCATCCAAGATGGCAATGTTCAATCTGGAGAAGGAAAGAGATTCTGTTGTGCGTTTTTACTGACTGCTCGATGCCAGCATGTCCCCCTGTGCCGGGGAGGGCATTCAGAGATGACTTCCACTGTGACAGCTCTAACAACCTGGGGTTTAGCTACATAGTTTTATCTCCATACATGTTATAAACATCAAACTAATAAACTGTAAATGAGTAGCCTAAATAAATGTGAATTCATACAATAACAAATACGTATCGGTATCCATAATTGGAACACACACACAGTAACTCTCAGTGAACCCAAGAAAGTCAAAATTTTTGAGAAATATAAAATGAATCATGTTTGTTCCTAGTCCCCCAAATTATGCACAGCTTTCAGTCTAAATCAACAGCTAATTCACTGAATGACCTGCAGCTAATATCTGATTAACGACTCTTAATTACCAGGAAGCACTTTAAAAACATGAAGAGCTCTATAAATGTTAAGGATATTATCTTCACAAGTCTCTTTAGTGCTTCCTTACAGGCAGGGCGAATAGCTCTTCATTTCCAGCTGCCTCTGCCTTTCTTTTCACTCACCATGAACAATTCATTCTGTCCTGTGATTTCATTTTTGCAACTCAGAACTAATTCTATGCAGAACTAATTCTCTAGGAATGGTGTCTCCACACTATAGGGGACTGTTTTGATAGCTTGCCAAGTCATGGATTGTGCTTTGAAAAATTTCACAAAACATACAACTCAGTAGAGTGAGCAAGAGATTACCCACAAATGGTATTATCTGCCAACAGGTAATCAACCAGCTTAGCCTTCCTGGAGGGAGCCACACAAGATACCACACAAACAGGAACAGGAGGAATCATAAGCGAGGCAAGATGAAGTTAAAGACTCTAAATACAAAGTGCAGTATTCTAAATTACAAAAATATGAAGGGCACTGTTTCATGTAAGTTATTCTTCTCACGCTGTAACGCAGATGTCAGCTGCCCCAGTATATCCCCACCTTCGACTCAGCTTTGATCCAAACACAGAAAGGCATCTCCTCAAATATCCTCAAAAAGAATCCACTTACACTCCTGTAAAAAGAGAAGTGAGTAAAGTCTGTTTCACTGAAGATTATTGTTGGGAGTCCAAGGGCAGAAGCTGAGGAGAGTTAACTAGAGCACAGATGAAAGTCAACTTGAAAATTCACAGAGCGCATTTTACTTTCCCCCAAACCTCCCCTGGAACTCCCAGCTCTGAGTCTTCCCTCTGCCCCACCCCTGTTTTGCAGGCAACTTTCCTTTCTCATCTGATATGTGGTTATGAGACTACCTTTTCCTTTCTGGGCCTGCACTTTGGGAATCACTCTCCAGCCCAAGCAATTTATTGAATTTCTCCACCCACACAACAAAGTGCTCTCCCTGAAAGAAATTCTGGCTAATAAAATTCTCCTTATCTTGTTAACTTTTTTTTTTAACCCAGACTATCTTCGGTATACATTGATTTGCTTCTGTGAGGCTGAAAAGAAATTGAGCCACTATAATACTATTTGTAAAACAGGGATTATTTCTGCTTTGTATATTTCTCACTATTCTCCCATTTTCCACTTCCCAGTGGAATTAAAGAAGATGTATAAAAAAACCACCACTATGGGATAAACCCTAGGCAGCTTGGCTAAAGTGCAAGTGAAGCCAGTAGCCACTTCAACCCCTAGTCCTTGACTTCAGAAGAGTCTTATTTTAAGGACATGCTTTCCCCGTGCGGAATTAAAGGAAGACTGCTATACTGTTGGTCTCAGGGAATCATTTTGGAAAAGAGCTACTTTGCAAAGCAAATGCCATATATTATTATCAGATTGTTAGTAGACTGTTAGTCTGGCATTCCAGTGGGCAGCATGGATCACTTTTGTCTCATAGTTGTCACACTAGATGGGAAACTACCCACGAGTCCTTTATTTCCACTTGTGCATCACTCCATTTGGCCTTCACAATGAATCCTCAACTGACTCAAATCTGCTTAAAATAACCACCAGGTATTACACACACACACACATGCACACATGCACACATGCGCGCGCACACACACACAAACAGTGCCAGGAAAGACCCATCTGTGGCTCACAGTCATGGCAGGCTCAGAGCCGCTGAGGTCTACAGAGTCTGTCTCTGGTTCCTCTACCTCCTGGGCTGGGGTCCCTGCACCCCTCCCAGCCACACCTCCACAGCAGAGCCTGTCTCTGACTAGCTATGGGCAAGTTTATTAATCTCTCTATTCCTCAGTTTTCCCAAGCATCTAACAAACATTGTACTATTAAACTCATAGGGTTGTACTAAAGATTTAAAATGTGGCAATATACATAAACTACTTAATAGTGCCCCCAAACATAGTGGGTACTCAATAAATGCCAAGTGCCGTTATTGTTGTTGGTATCAACTGACTCCTTCCAGATCAAATTACAGAGTGAAAGAGGCCATGGGGAAATGGTTCCACCAACTCCCCTTCAAAATCATACCCCCAGTGAAGGAGCAATGGCCTACCTACCCTAACCTATCAGGACAAAATTCTATACGGAGAAGACCAGCTGACCTAGTTAAGCACACTCAGAACCTTGTGGGCTCCCATGAGACTCCGATGTCTGCATCTGTAACAAAATCTAGAGGGTTTCTTTAACTCTCAGGAGTTCTCAAGTTGACTTGAGAATAACTGAGTTTACATCTTTGATACGTATATTTTACTACTCATAGTTATAAAATAAGGATAACACAAGGCATGGAAAAATTGGTATTAGTCAATAATTTCTCTTTATTATGAAATTAAAGATAATTTTTTAAGAAAATTTTAATCTGCTTTAGGCTGAACTCTTATCTAGGTCCCAGATGGTTCTCATCCTATGCGTCCATGTTGAGAATTCTGCTTCTTAATCCCAACCCCTTATCACTAAGTCAACATCTTTGTATAAGCCTTGACTCAGAGTACTGAGTTCATGGGCTGATTTCAACATATGAATATTGTGAGCTGCTGCAGAGAAGGGTATAAATATGGGAGGGTCTCTGCTATTAATAGCTCATACCAAAGCTGGCTCAAGCCTCTTCTCATCAGCAAAGATAGTGTCTTCTTAGGGCTCTCCCCTCTTCTGGAGTAGACTAAGAACTCTGGGCAGTCTAAGGGTAAGAGGTCAGTCCAACTTCTATATACACATGTAGAGAGTCAGAAAATCCATGGGCTACTGCCATTGCTTCTCCCCAACACAAAGAGCACTGACCCCCTTCTGACTCAGAAATCCATCAGGGTCCTGTGGATCTTTGAGGGACGATAATCCACTGCTGTTTATCTTCAGCAGAGGGCAATTCTGCTGATGGGTTCTTTCAACAAATACCCACTGAGCGCCTCGAGATAAGGAGGAAACAATGGTGAAAAGGACACCACTGTCCGTACCTCTCTTGCACCAACACAGGACAAGCAGAGTGTCCCCATGGAGCCCTGCCATCCGGGCCTCAGCCACCAAAAAGCAGCAGGGCCAACACTTTCAGGAAAAAAAAAAAAGTCATCTTTGATCTCATGTCCTCTCTCTTAAATGTTCCTCTGGCACTTTTCCTAGATGGGTTAATTTTATTTAATTTTATTTTGTTATGTTCTATTCTATTTTATTGTGGTAAGAACACATGAAATTTGCCCTCTTAAATTTTTAAGTGCCCAATACAGTATGGTTAACTATAGGCACAGTGTTGTACAGCAGATTTCTAGAGTTTATGCATCTTACTGGATTGAAACTTTATGCCCTTTGATTAGCAACTCCCTGTTTCTCCTTCCCCCATCAGCTTCTGGCACCACCACTCTACCCTGTGAATCTATGAATCTGACTATTTTAGACACATCATATAAGTGGAATCATGCAGTATATACCACCCTGACCACACCCAGTCTCATCTGATTGATTTTTTAAATTAACTTAATTTAATTTTCTTCATTTCTATTTTTTTGTATCACAACTATTACAAAACAGGTCACATCTGTGTCACCCAAGCATACAATACATTCACTGTCACTTGAAAACGAAATACTGCCCACTGCTGAGAAACATTTGGAACCATTCAAGCTCAAGCGATACCCACTGGCATCATCTTATGAAGTTTTACCCACATGGCCTTATCCCTCACAGCTTGTTCTAACTCAGACTCCAGCAAGAACACAGGATGATCAACAGCATCTTCCTATGGAGGCCTGATGTGCAGAGGTAGCAGGGACTATCTGCAATCCCATGGCCCAGTTAAAACATAATTTCATGCCTACGTGGCTTTAAATTCAGAATCTAATTTCATCCAAAGAACCAATCGGCCCTGCTAAATAGTGCAATGGTGTGAAGGGTAATTACAAAGAAGGGCAGCAGCTCCCCACAGGCTCTGGAAACGAGGACAGTTTTGAACAATTCATCTCATACACATTGTCCTGGGAAGAACAGAGGCACAGGGGCCATGGAGGTGGTGCTAATCCTGCCCTCCTTAGCGCTCAGTAGTGGCTCTACACACCGTCCGCCTGCACCATCTGGGGAGCCAGCTGGAGAAGGGACCCTGAGGTTTTCCTTTGGCTCCTCAGGCCTTGCACACCTGCCAGGTCAGACTCCATGGGAGGCAAAGAGCAAAGAGCCTCGCCAACAGAAAGCAGGCATTATGAATGCATCTGTTTCCCCAGTTCAGCACGGCAGCTGGACTGGGGATTAAATATATTGGCAAACAGTATGACAACTGATGTTACCACGTAGGGACACGGTAGTGCTTGAGCAACATGAATAAATTACTGGGACTTCGAAAATGCAGAGTCATAACTGCAATGAGGCTGGTCATGTGATGGTGGATGGCGGCAGTGACTGAGGCAAGCTCAGGAGCTCAGCTTTTCCAGTACTGAAGAAGGTTCTTTTCCTCCTGGGAAGCTTGGAAGAAACGGAGCCACAGGAAGGCCATGGGTCTGCTCTCTGCCCACAGCCAGACAGGCTGTGCTGCCAGCCGGAGCCTGGGCTCCGAACTCCAGCAAAAGGCGGAGATGAGAGGCCTCCATCTCCAAATCCCAAAATAGGCCTTTCCATGTGCTTAGGCAACTTCGTTTCTTCAGAACATTTGCTTTCCATCTCAAGTCAGCTTCAATGATACATGCAGAATTTTGCAATCTTTCTTTGAAAGGCAGAGTTCACATAGAGAGAATGAAGATTCAACATGGATAGATCAATAGGGTTTTCACCTCACTGAAGCCCATTGACTAGATTGATGGAGTTTGGGGCCCAAACCTAAAAAAGTTGTGGGGTGTGTGTGTGTGTGTGTAGCCATGTGAGTGTGTGCACATGAGCGTGAGCTTGTGTGTTTACCCCCACTCTTCTTATTGAAGCAAAAGAAACCCAACTACTCAGATCACTGATAAAGTAGTGAAATCCTCTTATTGAGAGCAATGGCTGTTAGATTCATCATAGGTGAAACTATGCATCTTTTGCGTTTCAGAAGGGAAAGTTATAGAAGCCCTTCACTCTGTTCAGTGCCCCACAAAAGGGCTTCAAAGTTATTCCCCAGGACATCACAAGCTCCCTTCCTGGAAGCTTTTTTCCGCCTAGATTGACTACTTTTCTTTGGGAATGATACTGCAGTTGCCAGGGACACCTGTTTCAAACCATCTACTCCTTGTTCCTGTTTGCAAAGGTGAATGACTACTTATCTGGAATGTCCGTCACCTCTTGTTTCTTCATTCTTCCTGAAATTTCACCTCAATAGTGTACCTGACCTCTCCACGCCTCGACTTGAAACACCAGTGAGGCCAGTTCATCTCAGGAAGTTTTATTCTCTGACACCTACCAGTTACTGTAAGACATGTGACATCTTTTATCTCTAATCCTGAATTTAAACAAACAATAGAGTAAAGCGGTTAAGAACACAGGCTTTAGAATCAGTTTTCCTGGCTTCATAATCCCAGTCGTCCGATTAGCTAGTTGTGTGGATTTGCATAAGTAAATTCATTTTCCCTGTGCCTCAGTTTCTTTATCTGTAAAATGGGAATAATAACAGCACCTACCTCATCAATTTTTGTGAACATTCAATGAGTTAACACAATGTAAGATGATTAGAAAGAAATGGGCACACAGTAAGTGCTCAATAAAAGTTACCTTTTATTATCTGCACAATTTTGCCAGGTGTGCATGATTCCAGTATTCTAAGTGAGGAAGCTAGCCTGGAGATGTGTCAAAGCCACAGAGTAAATGGCAAAACTCCATCTTAAATCCAGAAATACCATTCTCCAGAGCCTATGCACTTGCCACACCACATGCGACTCTCAGCTCAGTGGCATTTACAGTCAGGCATTTGTTCTAAGCCTTGATCAACTTCCAGGAATAATTAAAAGTTGGCAACATAATAGTCAATTGACAATGGTTTGATAACAGTTATGGTTATAACAGCCTTTGTTTCTCTGCTCTAGTGCCAGCACAACCCTCACCTCCCACCCCCACCACAAGCCATTCCAAGAGAGAAACGTATATTTTTCATGGCTTCTGCATAGAAGACATGCAGGGAAAAAAAGAGCAAAATAAGAAAAATGGGTAAGGAGGCTATATGGAGAAGACTTCTCATTTTCTTAAGAGAAAAAGTGTCTTATATTTAATTTTTTTTAATCTTTCCTTATGAGGCTTTTTTTTTTCCATTTTGTTTCTTATCCGATTTCTCTCTGAAGATTTGGAAGAGTTGCACAATACATTTAATCCTTTGTTTCTTTGGAAAAATAGAAGCTTTTCAAATTATCATAGGTTATAAATCATTCCTTTATGGTTTGTGCTGTGGGTCCTTAATAAATCCTTGCCTACACAAAGTCACAGAGGCATATTTTTTGCTGTATCCATTAACTCCACTTTGACCAAAGAGAAATTAGCACATGTATTTTGCTTTCTCTTCTCCTCCCTCTATTCTGCTGCCCCATTTAGCTGATGATATTATCTTTTTAGTGTTTGTTTACCAAGTCCATAGGAGCAGCCCACCCCAGGTGCTAGCAATAAAGACATGTATTGTTCTTGAGAAAATTTTAAAACAATAATAAAACCAACTGGAAGTCAGTCTGGTCATTATTACCACAATGCTCCAATAATACAAGATCAGTGATAACATATTCTTTCTTATATGAAGAGATCACCCCACTGCCACCTACCCCTTTGTGTGCCTCTACCAGTTATTTTATCAGCTTTACATAATATCTTTAAACATTTCAATGTAAAAGGGGAGAAAACCAGCCAAATAATATAATAAACCATTCTTCTCTCTCATTATCTCTTTCCAGTATTTGTCAGGGTTTACAAGATTTGTGGTGTTCTAGAGCCATATTCTTCATATTTATTTTTTGTGCAATTATACAGATTCCATATATACCACATTTTTCCATATTTACCACTTATCTCCTGATTGGCTGAAGTTTAGCCTTAAGTCATTTTTGAAATGATACATGGAATCAGAATCCCCTGCATTCTAACATGCTCAAAAATGTCTGTTGTCTTAATACAGGAATAATATTTTAGCTGGGTATGAAATTTTTAAATGCTAACCACTATTTTCTGTAAAAAACTCTGAACTTGGACTGTTTTTTTTTTTCAACTGAAATTTTTCTTTTACTTGGCATTTGTATTTATCATTCTAGGTTAAATGTTTCTGGAACATAGCATGACCTTTTAAACTGTAGATTCTTCTTTTATCCCCAAAATATTCTTGGTATTTTTCTGAATAATTATCTCCATTTTTCCTCCTTAGAATATCAGCGATGCATATCACTTCTGTCTATTATTTTTTCACTAACCTTTTAAACTCTTTGCTTCCACTTCAATGTGCTCATTTTTATCAGGCCTCTTACTGTATTTTCATCATTGTCCAGGCTCTGTTGGGCTGCTAATAGCTTTGCCTTCAGTTCTAGAGTAGTTTGATTTATATTCTATTTCTTTTTTGCTTTGACTCTTTCCTGAAATCTGCCATCTCACAGTTCATCTCCTCATACTTTCTAACCATCTCTCCTTGACCTCTTATATTTCTGCTTTGTCTCTTTTCTATATTAGAGCAATTGCCTTGTGACATTTTTCATGAATGGTGAAATACGTGGTTACAATTTTCCCCTGTAATTTATTTCTAGTGAGTATTCTTTTATCAGCAATTCATTTCTCATTTCCTGTTCTTCTCTTTTCTAGTAATGACTTCATATATATATATATATATATATATATATATATATATATATATGCTGATTTTTTAATTTTTTAGCATTTGAATGAGGTAAATTTTTCAAGAACTAATTATATGAATGAGGATCAGGTGGGGCAGGAGCCAGGCCATGTCTCCTAGTGTTCCATAGTAGAATCCATAGGATCTTTGAGAATTTACTTTTCCCTAGCTGTAGAGACAGTTGTAGGGATGTTGATAATGTAAAGACCCCTGCAGTGCCACCCATCACCACAAGGAGAGACTTCCTGCAAGCTGTATTCCCTATGGAATTTCTTGTTTTGCCCCCTTCTTCATTTCTGAGAACAAAACTAAGCAGGGGGAATACTTCCACACCAACCAGTAAAGCTTGTTCCCAATTTCCTGGCAAGGATCTTAGTCTTGCACCTCTAAGTGAGGTCCTACCTTAGAAAAGCACACTGATTTCTGGGATCTATCCAGAGGGACATCAAATTCCTCCCATCCCTCTGAGCACCACCATTGTTATATTCCTTCACCTACTCTGTTGTTCCAAATGTATGCTAGCTTTCACTT